GATATGCGGGACTACTCCGGACGGATCTCTTTGCACCACACTGAAACTCTGTAAATTTTGCGTCCATTATAATTTGTACTTTCCGGGACTCGAACTCCATACGTGTAGTATGAAATTAGTTGATTGTAAATTATGCATATGGGTCAAACAAATATTTAAGTTTTACAGATCTTTTCTATCTCTTATAATCATACTTTATTCACAAATGTTCTTTTGTTTTGGTCAATATTTACACATGTTCTATACTAGGGAAAATTCCATATACAATATCTAATTCTAATACAAACCCTTTTCTCTTTATTTACCCAAGAAAAATCGCATTAGCTCAACACAATCCCAATTCTTTTGTTGAGTCTTCACAAAAATGAATCTAAAACAAACCAAAGTGATGTTTTTCCTGTTAGCCCTAACGTCGACATTGATTTTCCGACAATCGGAAGCTGATCAATCGAATATCTGTCCGACGGAAAAGATAAGAAGCATTCCGGGATGTTTCCATGCATTGAGATTAGCATCAAATAAAGATTACAGTTTGTTAACAAGAGATTGTTGCAAAGCAGTGTTCTCAATAACTTCTGACACTTGCTTCTTGATTGTCTCTCCTGCAAGAGCTTACCCTATTAAAATGTTCAAAAAGAGTTGTCCTTATGTCCCATCTGGATCACATGTATAATGTTTGTGTATATCTTCTGATGATATAATAAAAAATAAAAATGAATCAAAAAATTTCTTTTAAATTTTAGTTACGTCATACAAATTATTCATTGAATGTTTCATGGTCCTTTCGCTTTGTTCAACAAAATAACAATCCGTAACTCTGCAAAAGATGAACCAAGTTATAATAATTGAACTACATCTGGTTACCATATTCCGATCAGAATGGGAATTCGAATCAGTCTACTAAACCAAAGTCACACTGGTAAAAATACATGGATTTTTGTTGGGTGTGACTTTAATAACAATAACAACAACAATACTTTGATTCTTACTAATGTTTCTTTCTTGATTAAGGCAAAAAGACTAAAGTTATGTTCAACATTCCACCTGGGTAAATGTTATTTCCGATCAAGCTCTGAATACCACAACTTCAATGCCCCCGCGTAATGCCCAAGAAGACCAGTTAATTCTGTTTACAACAACAGTTATCGAAACCAAAACCAAAACCAAAACTTAGTTATGACAAGCTAAATGGAATCAAGAATGCATGATTATTGAACTAATGCGTAGAGATTCATAAGGATTTGAGTGTTGTTGTTACCTGGATTACAATACTGTGGTTTGTAGGTAGAAGCAAGGGCCTCGAGATCTTGTAACCTTCGGCCTCCACCATTGTTGTTGTTCTTCTTAGATGATGCACCTGTTGGGGAGAATGGGCCAAACACATATCTATTTGCAGTTGGTTTCGATTGCTGCTCTGTGTTTTCCTCGTCGAATTTCTGGAATTCGATTTGCTTGCTGTTTGATGAGCAATCTGTTTTGTTTCTCTTTGTTCTTAAGTTAGTGATCTCTGTTCCAAATACCCGCTTCTTCGGTTCACTGGAATTAAATAAGCTTGACCCTCTTTCGGTTAAGGATTTGGACCCCAACCACTTATATGCTGGTTTCCTAGTCTCTGGTATCTGAGTCTGTGGGCAAAAGCAACAAAAAGAACTAAAAGATGAAACACTGGAATTGGGTAAGTTCAGGGTTACTGTATTGGTTAAGGAGCAAAGTTATTACCTTCTCGATTAAGTTCATCGAGGAAAACACATTTGCAATGTCATAAAGTCGTCTAACTTTAGCTGTTGATCATTTTCAGAAGCCAAATTAATGTATGTGATAAACCCATAGATCAGAAAACATGTAAAACAGGAGATTGAGTTTTACTTCTCATGTTCATTGGATCTTGAGAATCGCTCAGCAAGGCTTTCGCAGCACTATCCAGTGTAATGAGATCTTCCTGAGGAGAAATCAGCAAAGAGTAATGTGAGTCGTTTATAAGAATACTTCAAAAAGTTTGTGAAAGAAGCCAAAGAGAGGTGTCTAGTCAAGTTGCTCACTTACATTAGAACAGAGAAACATTTTCACAAAGTTCTGAGAGAGAAGCCAGAGAGATTTCTCCTTCTTGTTGTCTGAAAAAGATATTAGTTTGCCTTCAAGTTAGCTCCAAACAAAAATCTTATCCTGGTAAATCTTTCTTAACTAGCACATTCATAACGCAGAATCATTTGCAAGAAACTTGTTTACTCAGAACAAGTTGTGAACTGAAATCCCAGTAATGAATAGCAAATACAAGACATGTGGTTTTAGCTGAAGCTAGAAAGAAGAAGCATTCCGATAACACTCGACAACATAACAAAAACACTAGAAAGAGAAGATTACCCATTTTAGAGGATGATGAGTTTTCTGGATCATCAGGTGTTAAATTGAAAGACTCTTCTCTTTCATCGTCATTTGAAACCTATTAAAGAGGAAACAAAACATTTGCTCAGAACTAAAAGGCCAAGATGAGCACGACATTCTTGTTAATGGCCACAGAATCACACGTAATCCAGCGCTCATATACACATATTCAAAGTTAAGTTCCTAACCACTTGTAGGATCTTAATAGAAAAACAAAAGCCTGTAATAAGACCTTGTATACCTTGTCTGAGTTGTTGATATTTGAGATACCAAACCCCTCTCTCGTTCCTTCTTCCTGCAACACAAATAAACAAAAGCAAAGACCAGTTTCAAAACCATTATCTAAATCAGAGACTGAGACTAACATTAGAGACTATTTCCAAGTACCTTGAGTTCATCTAGACACCGAGGAACTTCTCCAAAACCTTTCCATGAGTATTGATTCTTCCCTTTCCTTGCCACAACCTGAGTATCACCACAC